TTCAACAAGACAGGGCAGGGCCCGACTCAGTTGAGCGTTCAAGATAAGGGAAACAACGGGAAGCTGCTGTGCTCTGAGGACTCTTTCCAGGCCAAGTGGACAGCTCAGCCCACTGCACCCTGGGGAAATACCACCCCCCCTCTGTGCCTGCCTGCTTTGCCAGCCCATCTCCGGACGGCAGTCGCGGGATGCCGACAAAAGTGGAAGGATAGAAACCCGTCATACCTGCCCAATGTAGTGTCTGCTCCAATGAACAGCGCTGATAAGCATTCGCGAGGTTGATGGCCCCAGCCAACCGTACTTGCTAGACACTTCCTAGCACACGTGCTACCCACAGCACTAAAAAGCCAATTCTTATCTTCAGTTTGGGAAGTGCCCTCTGACTGGCTGGTCGCAACCCCCCCCCCCCCCCCCCTTTCTAATGTTTTGGCCGTTTCCAGGGCTCATGCACTGGTCACTGGACATGGGGGTCTCCACATGGTGGTCAGTCTGTCGGCTTCGGCATCAAACACAGAAGGGCATGCACACGACACAACCATCGGGGGAACGGCCACCGGCCCCTTCGGACATCTCCTGCTGTGCTGCCTACACGTCTCACGCTCACAGATCAGGCCCCTGGGTGGCGTGAGATGCCTCTTATCAGCGGCCAAACATCAACCTTTGCCACGCAGCCCTGCGTCAGCTCGGCTCAGCTCAGCATCCCTTCATGCCAAAAACGTCGCCAATGAGCGACCCAGACGGACAGCCACGAAAAGGTTGGAAGTGAGGCAGATGCGCACCATGTCAGTCGCCCGAAACTAGCGGACGGAACGCCCAGCGCAGCGCCCCCCGCGGAACCCCAGCCGCGACTGTTGAAGGCTCTTGGCTTCCAGACCACCCCATCAAAATTTATGGATCTCGCTGCCTGTCAAGCCTGCTTCTGTTGCTTGCGTGCTGTGGGGCCCTGTCCGCCCGTGTGGGGCCAACTAGTCATGTCTCACGCTCAGCAGAACCGGTAGATGGCCATCGGGGGGGGGGGAAGGGCGATTTCGGAATTCTTCCTGACGCCAAGCTGAAAGCGACGAGCACAGAGTCCGAACCCAAATAACGCTTGTTCGCTGTCACAAAAGCAGCCGAAAAAAAAGAAGACGGAATTGCCCCAGCGGGTATTTGGGACGCACGGGAAAGTAACTCATCCGCCTTTCCAACGCCGTCGCCCACGGTACCTGAGGTTGAAGAATAAGGAACTCATTCTATGAGGCTGCCCATGGCCGCCTTGGTCGACCTGGATCATCCACTGACCACACCACCAACCTTTCTCCTGCTGCTGAATCGAAGCCAACGAATTTGATGGGGCAGCACCCCGCAGGACCCCGCAGGCAATGAAGAGGGCCAAGATCATCAGCAGTCGTCAGTTGATTGACGGTGGAATGCTGGGCCTGCCCATCAAACGCCCAAGAAGACAGTCGGCTAGCGATCTGGTAAAGATGGACAGGGCCACAACTCCTATGTCACCCTCAGTCTACCAGTCAGGACACACGAACGACACGGGCGCCCAGCCCGTTTCCAGCAAAGGGCAATCAGTTCTGCACACCCTTCGTCATTCAGCATCGAAACAAATCCAAGCTCGCGGCACCACTGATGGGATCTCGATGTCACCCCCCGATCAGGTCGAACCATCGTTTGTCTGCCTCGCGAACTGCCCGTCTCAGGTTCTCAACGACTGTAAACAAACATTGTGTTGCTCCCTTTTTGCCTGGTAATGAGCACATCCTCATTCGCCGATTTCAAGATGGCACTCTTGGCCTCACTTAGAGTACCGCTTCGCCAGCCGGGTCAACAAAGTGCTGTCTTGCGTAGTGAGTGTATCTTTGTCCCATCCCACCCTCTTTGATGCAGGTGCCCTCTTTTCGCAACCTCTTATCCACTTGCCTTGATTCGCTCGTCGCCTGGTTGCCCTGGGTGTACGACGTCGTTGCCCTCCAACTGCGTCATCCACTCAGTTGAGTCTCCTTCCCAAACTTATGATTCCAGGTGTGGAGGGGTGGGTTCGACTTTTGCGGGGTACCAGGGTGTGTGTGGATTCTGCGAAAGACGCCCATTCCCATGGAGAGGGGCCTTCCTCCAGCATTGGCACCAGCGCTGACGACCATCATGAGGACTGGGAACAGCACCTCATGCGCACTGTTCGTCATGCCATGATTCCGACGTGATGTTCAAGACCCCATGCACTTTTGACGCAGCGCATCCGCTCGTGGCCATGATTCAGTTTGCTCACGATGTCTTGTGCGATAGACGCATCCAGAATGTTGTTTATGGGGCCTTCCATGCTGGTCAGCAGACTATGACGTCCACGGGGTCGGACTCCGGTCCAGAACGTGGCGAGGCTGGTTCGTGTGTTTTCCTGGCGCGAATGTGCCCAGCCGCACGACCATCCCCGGGCAGGCATGGTAAAGGTATGTATCTAGCTGAACAGTGCCTGACTGGCATTTTAGCCAATTGAACAGTTCGATGTCGCGCCGTTGTTGCCTTGGACTGACCATCGAAATATCTGGAGACTGCACCTAAGGGAACGTTCGGGGACCTTCGACTAGGTACAGAGGTTGATAGACCTAAGTAGCACTGCTGCATGTCCAAAGACTTCACGACACTGATCTCAAGGCAGTCCTAGGGTTCCTGTTATTACCGTGCGGCTTTTCGGCACCTAGTTCGAGGCCTCGACCTGGCGAAGACATCACTGGGCAGAATTATTTGCCCAGCTAGCTTCAGTAGCACCAAGAATAGACGCAGGAACAGCAATAGCATGGGAATTTCTGATCTAAGTCTCGTCATTCATTCCGTGTGTTTTCCCCAAACGCCAAAACCATGCTGCCAGCGTCTTGTTCTAGCGCAAAACCTCGTCTTCATCACAAGCAAAGCAAGCCCCACATCGTGCTCAATGAGAGTCGACACCAGTAGCACCGATATCAGCACCGGCCGACGACGATGTGCCGAGATTGTTGAACAGCTTCTCCTTCACCTCGCCTGCCATGAGACCCGTCCGTTCCTGCGAAGATACGGAGCTGCAGTCCCTAACGAGCTTCTCCATCACGACATCGACACGCTTGCTCGACCCCGGTGTGCCACCTAGGTTCATCGTCGCCGCGCCGCCCTGTGCGATGCGGCTCTGGCGCGAGAGCAGCGTCGTCGCCTCGCCAATCTTGGAGGATAGGTCGAGCATCTGCTTGTTTCCGTAGTCGCGGTTCGTGAAGAGGGGACTTTGGCTGAGCGTCTGCACCCAGTACTTGTGCCACAGCAGCTCGAGCAGATGCGTGTCGAGAGTGCTCTTGTAGTGGGAGATTTCAAGGCTGTAGTACTTGCTCGCATGGGCGCCGAATTCGGCGGCTTTGGCGAGCGGAACGGCTTGGAAACCGTCAATGATCGCGACGCCGCTGGTTCCCACGTCGTCGGCGGGTTCCTTGCCGGTCGCCATACCAAGAGGCGGTTGCGGGAAGGTGCGGAAGGCGCCTATCTCGACCTTGCCGGCGCTGATGGTACGGTCAGGGTCAATCACGACGGCCAAGAACGGGTCCTGGAACTGCTGGTGCGTTGTCTGGGTCATGACGTCGATGCCTGACAGCCAGCAGCCGTAGCCTGGGTGCGAGTGGTACCAGCCGACTACGTTCTCCATGCGGCCCTGTCGGCGGCAGGCGTCGGTGTACTCGACCATGTATTCGTCAGCATCTGCGTGGGCATTGACACGGGTCTCGGTGCCTTCTACGGGCAGTCGAAAAGCGTCTGTGACGATTAAAGCGTCGCCGTTGATGTAGCCCTGCATGAGGCCCATGATCTCGAGGGAGCCGCCGGAGCGTGCATGCATGACCATCTTGATGAGGGCGGTCGCGCTGATGCGGACGCGCCTAAAATGTAGTGGATTCTGCGCCCAGGCGCGGGCCGACATGGCCTCCTTGTTTGCAGCTTCGTCAAATGCATACAGGGCATCTCGCTTGGGGTCGACGAGTTCAATATTGTTGTCGAGCTCTATGGAGAGGTCAGCTTGGTCACCAGGGTGTGTACAGGGCAGCAGGAGATTCGGGAGGGAGTTCGAGGTACATACCCCAGCACGCCAGGGGCGGCGTTGCTTTGGACGCCATCTTTGACTTCTGGCGCGTTGAGTGCAGACGCAAGGCGTTCGTCTGCTGCTTCGCCCAAGTTGGGAGGAGGCGAAGTTGAAGCTGCGTTGAGCTCCATGGTCGTTACCCCACCACGGCAGGCCAACGAAGTGGGTCCCAGCGTCTGGCTTATCGTTATCGATAATGGAGCTTGCTGCCTACACGCGCCTTCCCAACACCAGTCTTCTCTGTCAACACCAGTCTTCTCTGTCAACACCAGTCTTCTCTGTCAACACCAGTCTTCTCTGTCAACACCAGTCTTCTCTGTCAACACCAGTCTTCTCTGTCAACACCAGTCTTCTCTGTCAACACCAGTCTTCTCTGCATCTTGCAGCAATTGCAACTTCCGCAAAAGACGAACAGCTTCTACTTATTCGAATCTTGCCTCTTGTGCTCCAACCGACAGCGAGAAGGCCGCCTGAGCTGTGGAGTAGCTCCCGTCCAGAATGGTCATCTGCCTTAGCCAACAGCTGTCCTCGATGGATCAATGCAGCCGCGGCGTTTCCAGTTCTTTTCTTCTGTTGGACTCTCGCAGTCATTCATCCATTTCAATGACGGTTTTCAAATGGAACCAGTTTTAGCCTTCCTACTAACACAGCTATGAATGTGAGGCCGTCACAGCCTCGAAGAGTAGGAGATCCGCATCGCATCGAGCAGGTTGCATTACTTGTCTCCCGGACGTCATATCGGTCAAGAGGCCATCCAAAGCCTGGCAAATCCATGGCTCGGCCACGTGTGGTCGACATGTCGCATGTGTCTAATCGCACACAAACGCAGGCTTCATGTGCTCCCCTATACCAACCCAGGTCGAACCACCCATCCGTCAACTCCTCACTGTCTGCATGGCCGGCCCAGCAGAACACTTCGCTGTTCTTCAGTGCCGTCCCTTCGCCTTTCAAAATTACCTCGCAGGAACACAATATGTAAGCTTCCGTCTCGTACTCCTGCAGCCGCGCGAGCTGTTTCGGCGAACGGCACTCCCACACCATGCCAGCCACCACAACGTCCCCTCCTCGTCCAAGCGTCATCTGCGGTACGATTGCAGGGTGCGTACCGTACATCCGTACCCGCCATCCTCGAATGTACCCAGGGTGGAGCGTCGGCCTGCGCGCGATGCCGACAACAGCTTGCAGCACATCTGTGTCCATCAGGGGCCCGTAGAGGAACACGTGAAATGGAAATAATGCCGTCTCGAGGCTCGAGTCAGTGGCCTGAGAAGCATAGTCTGTGAGTTGCCGTGGTAGGTTGCCGCTAGCGCTGTCCCCAGGATTCATGTGTGGTTCCTGCGGCTCTTGGAGTCGTGGAGTAGAAACGGTTGGCCATGTCGTTGATAGCTTGTCGCCAATTGCCCCGGCAGGCCCCGAGCCGCGAGCGCTAGCATCGGCGCCAAATCGATCGATCATGGTGATTTGGGCTGATGGCACGGGCAAACGAGTGGCACAGGACAGCCAGGACGTGCTCCTGCGCGGGGCGCGAAGCTTTCAAACATCTCACTTTCTCGGTTGTCAACCGCTGCGAAATACGAAGCAGAGCACGCGGCATGTTCGTCACCTCCGCCAGCGGAGAAGGGGGCGCGGCGCCTGGAGGCGTAACCGTGGCCTTGGCAGCCCCTAGTCGCATCCCATCACGGGGGATTCCTTGGAAAAGGCACCAGCTTAAAGTGGTGGGCTCAACAATCTCTGCATGGTCGGCCATCATCGTAGCCATTGAGGCTGCCTTGCACATTACATCCGAAGACTGCCTAGTGTACTAGGCTTCTTGAATATTTCCAGCTATGAATTACGCATTTGAAATCCATCGAGAGGTGCTGGCGCCACTTATTGCCACGACAGGGTGACCTAAATCAGCAGCAACGGAGCGTATTCAATTCCGCACAGCATTCGAGTGCCTCATTTCTCCGTTTACCGGAATCTCAGTCCTCAAGCTCGTAACTTTTCTGGAACGCCTCCAGATCAAACTTTCCGTCCCGCAGCTGTTCCTGGTTCCCGATAAATACGAAAACCCGTCCATTCTTGCCAATCTTGTCCTCATCGGGGCTCGAAAAGGTGCAGTCCCGCGCCTCGTAGTTGTTCGTCTCATAGGCCTGCAGCCGCGCCACCGTGCCGGGGTTCGCCGCCTCGTCGATCCAGACCTTGCCCTGGACGAGCCCGTTGGGGTCCGGAACGATTGCCGGGTACATGCTCCACAGCTTTGCAGTGTAGCCTCGTAGGGTGGCATCGTGAAGGATGATAGGGCGGTCGGTGCCCGTAACAATTCCAAGAATGACAGGATCCATGAGAGAGCCGTAGAAGAAGTAGGTGTGCTCTAGGCAAGGGGCAATGGTGGGGGGAGTCGATGGGGGAGTGGTGCTGGACGTGGTGGTTGCCATGGCGCTCATGTAATCGGAGATCATCAAAGTCAGGTCGTTTGCGGTGCGAGTACTAGTTGGTTGTGGTTATCATGAGAATACCGCTTTGGAATGGGATCATACGATGGTCTTCTCTCTTATAGACGCGACGAGGTGCTTCAATGAAGCTGGTGTACAGTGCTTGTGTCGGATACTTCTTGGAGTGAATCCTCTTCATCCTAATCCCGAAATCTTGCCCTTCAGAGACAGCTAAGAAGCTGCAAAGACACCAGCGTTGCACCTTTGACGGTTGTCCAACAATGCAAACCTACAAAAGGGCTTGACGCGAAGGTGCGCAGGAATTCAACCGCTCCTTCCCCATCATGATTGTGACAAGCGGCCGTCACCGTTGTTTGTTGATGAACAAGGTTGTCATGGTGTCTTCAAACAAATATCAAACTGCCAACACCAAATATGTCTCCTCCTCAACTCTCGCTACCTTCTATTCGAGGCGTCAACCGTCCCTTTTTGGGCGTAGTAGTAGAGAATGGCGGGTGGAAGTAGCAAATATGATCTACATATTGATTGACGCATCGAAATGTCAACAAACAGCGACACTAAAGTCCATGCAGGTCACAAACAGACCAGCATAGCGGTGGAATCCCCTTCCGTTCGCCCCTCCCCCCGAAATCGGAGGCCAGGTAAATCTCGTAACCCTCAGCCGTGCTGCGCCCATATCTATGATACTAGCGACAAGCTCGCTAGTTGCGATCGGAGTTTCCACGTTGATTCTGGTGCGTCGAAGGTGAATACTCCTGTTGATGTTGTTGTTGTTCAGATACAAGCGGCCAATTGAACGACTCCTCGAAGCCTCATGTCGAACTAGCGAGAACAAACATTACGCTAGCGGTTCGGATACTTCACAACAAGGTGGTAATCACGACATCAATCGTGGCTCGTAGGCAGCATGGCGATGCTATAGACTCGATGACATGAGTCTGGACGACTGTCTAAGACAGACTCTCTCCATGTGATGATGGTTCATTCAAATCATGTGTATGGTGCAAGCGAGGAACATGTGATCCCACTCGGCAAAGCTTTTATATCCCAGGTGGCCATTGAGGTATAGCGATGGCTGATTGTGGAGAAATTGTGCCATGAAGTCTATCTCAAGGACCCTCATGGAAGCCTCAAGCCACCACGCGGCAGAGGAGTTCACCAGGGCCTCTGCTCAGCTCTCACCTTTTGATCTTTCGAAAAATGCATCGCGACGCTCACGATTGCTCAGTCTGTGACGAGTCGCTTCTTTTTGGTCCCAAGACTGTCATGGATTAAGAGCATGAACGACTCAAGACTTTGTTGTTGCATCGCCCCAGCATGGTCACGAAGGGCAGCACACACCATATCAAGAACGACATCAACACAGATGTCACATAACTGTCAGATCTGTGCCTTGGAACCTTCAACACGCCACACAGGTGGCTGCTGATGGCAGGTGGTGCTCCCTTGCCAGATTTGCAAGGCTCCTCACGAGCAACTTAGACGTACCTGTATGTCCCCATCCTCGTAAACACCATATATATATGTTATGGCTTCTGCAGACTTTGAGTCTGCAATCGGGCCATCTGGCTGTCCCGTATTTCCTTGTCGAAGCTCCAATACCTCCAGACAACGAACGAGTCGATGTCCCGTCGCCACTGATAACATCCACTTGCCGGCCTTTGAATTTGGTTGAATTTTTTGCCAGACCTGCCGTCATGGGTCTTTCGGTACAGATCGCTCCGTTTCTTTCGGCGCAGCCAGCACTCGAGATGGCAGATGTCGATAACGTTGATCTGAATGACAGGGAGATGGAGAAACGAGTCATCAGGAAACAAGACATGCATTTGCTCCCGTGGATGTGTATAACTTATCTCCTCTGTCAGTCTTGTTCCGGGTGACCGCTGGTTGAAGCCCCTGCTAACAGTTCCAGGCTACCTCAACCGTATCAGCCTGGGCAATGCTCGGACTCTGAATGACACGCAACCGGAGGACAACATTCTCAAACAGCTGGACCTTTCAGGATCGCGGTACAGCATTGTGATTGCTGTTTTCTTCGTGCCCTATGTCATTTTCGAGTTCCCAGGCACTCTGCTGATGAAGCACTTCTCGCCGAGCAAGTGGATCGCTCGAATCGTCATCTCAATCGGACTGGTAGCCATGAGCACATCGGCCGTCTCCAGCTTCTCGACGCTCCTGCTGGCCAGGTTCTTCTCGGGGGCCGCGGAAGCGGGCTTCTCTTCTGCAGTCATGATGCATCTTTGCTTCTGGTACAAGCCGGAAGAACGGGCGACGCGAATGGCCATCTTTGCATCGAGCGTGGCCCTCGCCTGCGCTTTCGGAGGACTCATCGCTTCTGGCATTTCCTTCCTGAATGGCTTCGGCGGCTTGTCCGGCTGGCAGTGGCTCTTCATTCTGGAAGGAACACCCGGCGTTCTCGTCGGGCTGGCAGCCTGGTTCTTGTTGCCAGATTATCCCCAGACAGCGTCATGGCTGACGCCCGAGGAGAGGACGTTCGCCGTCCAGCGTCTCGGTCCATGCGCGCCTACAATGGGCGACACCACCTGGGACCGCGAGACGGTCAAACGAACTCTGATCGATCCTGTGTTCTGGCTGTACTCTATACAGTACTTTCTCATGACGAACGCGCTCAACGCCTTTGGGTACTTTGCCCCATCGATTGTGGCGAATTTGGGGTTCTCTGGGAGTGCAGGCCAGCTCATGACCGTGCCTCCCAACCTGTTCGCGCTCTTGGTGGTTGTCGGAGCTTGCGTTCACAGCGACAGAACCCAAGAGCGGTCCAGACACATCGTGTTTGCCCTGGTATTTGTGGCCACTGGATACTTGGTACTGGCGTCGGTCGAGAACTGGGCCGTACGGTATGCGGCTGTGTGTATCATCGCCTGTACTAACGCTGCTGTCCTGCCATTCATCGCGGTAAGCATGCTTCCTTGTCTGCTTCAGGCCCTCAGATTACTGACGAGTACCCCAGCATCGAACGGCTACTGTCAAGGGATCTACGGCAACCGCGGTTGCGACAGGCGGCATGGTTGCCATTTCGAACTGCGCCGGCATCTCAGCGCCATTTCTGTTCCCCGCCTGGTCAGCTCCAATGTACAGCATGGGAAACTGGACGATATTTGCCTTCCTGGCCGTGTCGATTTCGACGAGTCTGTACGCGTGGTATCTTTTGGGCAGCCACAGCGGATACAGGCCAACCATCTCTGCTCACTGCGTGGGTGAGAGTGGCGAGGACTTGAACGCCGAAGGGAATATGCGACAGAGAATCGAGAGCCTTGGTTCGGGTAAATCATCCATGTCAGACCAGGTGCTTGGAATTTCAACCCTCGGGTCAGAGGCTGAAAAGACGCATGTGAATACGGCAGAGAAGGCACTATGATCATTGTTTTTTGGCCTGAGGACGGTTGGTCAAGGTACCGGATAGTGGCAAGGCTGCATGGCTTCAACCAGACGAGGGGCTGGGAGGAAGATCTGCCTGGCGCCTGACATCTCGATATTCAATGCAACCTCGCGATAGAGCTCTTTCTCCTGACTCTTTTTGACTTGAGGTAGCTCGTCCTTCTGAAATTATGAGGCAAACCTTCACGAGATGAAACCGTTTCGTTTAATGCGAGACTCGTCACGTTACTATATGCCGTTTGCATGTTCATTCTAGCTTCTATCTATTCCTCATCTTCAAACGTTACCGAGTTGACCATGGCCCAATTCCTGATGTCGTCAAAGTTGCGGCAGACATGCAACGTGCTGAAGTCTGGCCAGTGGCCTTCCATTGGCAAATCCGGATAGTTCTTGAAGGTAAAGATGCCAATGTCACTTTGACACATCAAATTTAGCCTCAACGCCTCGAGACAGTGGTCTATGTCAAGTAAGCCTCGGCAGTTGTTCGCCGTCAGAGAGTAGACGTTGGACATACCAATATGCCCACGGAGGTCCTCAGGATCAGTGGCAACGTCACCACCGACCTCCTCTTGTGAGTAGTATTCGCTCCACGTAGCCATGCGAAGAAGATTCAGGCAGTGTAGCTGGTGGAAGACCTCGATGCCAACACGGTAGCCCTCCTCGCCAGTAGTGGGATGTTTCCACTTGATGGACGTTGGATCGAGACCCAGACGTTCTAACTCGGCCTGCGAGATCATCTGGTCGCCAACTGCGATCTGTCAACAACAAAGCGCAACTCTAAAGGGGATTGAGGTCGCATACCATTGTTGGTAATGTGATCCCACGCCCGGTCGACCTCTTTGCCGTATCCGACATAGGGAGACCAGTCCATGACGGGTGTGAGGTTGTACCGCTCCGTGTGGTAGTTGACGACTTCTGCGACAGGAGCTTCGAGTGGTCAGCAAAGGCGCAGGTCCGATGAATCTCTTGTACGACTCACAATAGGAAGAATACTTCTTGGTGAAGAAGACATCTCGATCGGCATGGCGAATTCGGTACGCCTGCACCAGCGACACCAGCGACATGGACAAGAGTACGCCGTGGGCCAGCCACTGCCAGTTCTGTTTCACGGACTTGAACCAGCTTCGTGGCCGCTCTTCATACAAGCTCATGCGCTTCCATTCCCGCTTTTCATCGGACACGCTCTCTGCTAGAGTCTCTGTAAGGCTTTCTTCATCCTCCTCTGGGATTCTCGATTCGTAGGTCTTGCTCGACATGCTGGTTGGCTTCGAAATAAGGGCAAAAACGCGTGGAAACAATGGCACGCCTGGTGCTCAAAAGAAGTGAAGTGGCAGGAAAAGAGAGAAAGGCTTGGGAAAGTCAGCAAGCGGTCGAAACGGAGGAAAGTTGAAAAGCATCGCTAGGCGCAGAGGCGCTCGCTCTCGACAGATTCGCTCAGACCCAGCACAGATGAGACGAGTGCTGTAAACTCCCAGTCTAGTTTGGTGCCGTGCACAAAATAGGGGTCGCCCTCCAGGCCCAGGCCTACCATTCGACGGGTTGTAGTTCCTCGCATGTGCCCCCAGCACTGTGAACGACTGCTGACGGCGCATTACGACACAGCAGGGCAATTCGAGGCGAGACAGTCTCCAAAAGAGACATGCAAGCGAGCCAGAGAAACCCTGCGTGTCCAATCGCCAGCAATCCGATAGTAATGCTTCGCGGGCGGCGATTCCGTTCCAGGCTGCCGAAAATACGTTTCGGAGTTTCAGCATAGATCCTGACGCAGTGGTGTCGTGTCTCAGTGTTCAAGTTCGGAGCGAAACAGGGGTCTGATCCCCCCACATGAAAGTTCGCAAGGGGAAGAAGCATGGGGGATCAACAATAGATGCGCCTTTGCCGGCGATCCAGTATCCCAGTGGTGATCTGCCATACAGGGGTCACGTGTTCTTGTCTTTTCGACTGTTGAAACCTTCCCTGTGCCACCCTCGCGGGCCATCATCAAGTCTTGGCAACTGATCCGCAAGATGAGCCTTGCGACTGATCGCCTCGAAACCTCGACAGCGCTTCCTGGTGTAAAAGTGTGCGCCGTCTGATCCGTGAAACTTCGACTGACGTGCCCCATGAAGCATGACCCATGTTGACCGAGATCGCAACGTTGGACGTTCTGAGCATTCTGATGCCCTTCGTATGCCGCTTGCGAACGGGAATGCGGCTGGCCTGGAGGCTGTTCGGCACACTGGGGCATCTCTGGGCCCAGTGTTAGACTTGGAAAAGTAATTTCTGACACGAGGAGTTGGGAGCTTCGTCCCAAGTTGTCCAGGTACAGAGCCCAAGCGAAGACATTCGCAAGAGATGGGCCCTTCAGAACGACGGGCTCGCTCCTGCGCCCGTCCTTTGGAACACGGCCAGACCGCAATATAAACCCTCTCAAAACTTCTCACCAAATTCACAACTGGGTTCTCCATCTCACACTCGCTCGACGCGATCTTCTTCCATTCCCTCCTTGTCGTTTATTTTCTACAGTTTGTCATTCGCTGCCGGCCAGCTAAGCCCAATTCATCATCATGCACGCTCCCACTTTCAGCCACGTCTTGGTGGCCGCTGTTCTTGCCGCCACTGGTGTCCAGTCCTTTAGCACTGGTGCGCCAGGAAACCAGCTTGCCAGGCGCATGGTTCGTCACCCAGTGTCGAACATGTGGGAAGTGTAACCGTTGCTGACAATTATATTTCACAAGCCCCCGTTGTTGCCCTGGCCATGCCAGCTTTTGCCATGACCACGGCTGTCGAGGAGCGCGAGGTGAGTTGCAAGACGAATACACTGTGGACTCGGACTGACTGGCTTTGCAGGCCGAAGAGCCAGTTGCCCTGGAGGCTCGCCATCACCGCGGCAAGGGAACCAACAATGCTGGCGCCAATGCCGGCGCCAATGCTGGCACCAACGCTGCCACCGGCGGTGGGAAGAGGAAGAAGAACAAGAACGGCGCCGGTATTGCTGGCCTGTTCGGAAAGAAGAACAACAAGCGCGAAGAGGTTGAAGTCGTCGACTACGCCGCGCTCGAGGCCCGTCACCATCGCGGGAAGGGAACCAACAATGCTGGCGCCAATGCCGGCGCCAATGCCGGCGCCAATGCCGGCGCCAATGCCGGCGCCAATGCCGGCACCAACGCTGCCACCGGCGGTGGGAAGAGGAAGAAGAACAAGAACGGCGCTGGTATTGCTGGTCTGTTCGGAAAGAAGAACAATAAGCGCGAAGAGGTTGAAGCCGTCGACTACGCCGCGCTCGAGGCCCGTCACCATCGCGGGAAGGGAACCAACAATGCTGGCGCCAATGCCGGCGCCAATGCCGGCGCCAATGCCGGCGCCAATGCCGGCGCCAATGCTGGCACCAACGCTGCCACCGGCGGTGGGAAGAGGAAGAAGAACAAGAACGGCGCTGGTATTGCTGGCCTGTTCGGCAAGAAAAACAACAAGCGCGCTATCGCGTTCACGGCCTAACTGGGTTAATTAACGGGGGGAGTCGGGCGAGAAGGACAAGCTCTTTCGGGGAACCAATCCTGTATGCATATTTGGATCTTGACAGTCATGATAGCGAAATCACCTTGACTATCGTCGAGGGCACAATGATAATCGAGATCCCGTGAAGCATCCATCACCGTGCCTGCGACATATAATTTCGAGAAGTCGACTTTCTGAGACGTGAATAATCTTGAGATGGATGTTTGGGATCGACGTTGGGATGCTGGCGCGCCTGGGTGATCGCCCCATGCACCCCATGATGAGACGCGGTTGATGTGCTACAACGTTGTTCGAGCCGAGCAATCCATTGGGTAATCGGGCCCAGACCAAAACACGTTTTCAGGCCATTGTCATGTCGCAGGATCTCGGCCAGCGCGAATTACAGACCATCACACGCAGTCCTGGATGTTGCTGGCGGTGGGCTCGGTCGTCGTCAGGTTGAGTACGACGAAACAGGCGCAAGTCAGAGTTGGTGGTGGGCGCAGGTTGTCTTTTGACTTGAGAAGAGACCGACCTCAGAGGGGACGATAGAAAGGTTTGCTTTGAGCACTTTTCTCAGAGATGTAGATAAGGCACGCAAGGCGACATACATGGCGAGAAGGTGATTGTTCGAGGTCAAGTTCATCGTACATTCCCAACAGATCTACGAGCTTCAAGCTTGGTCGGCGCCTGCTTAGGTAAGCAGATTCCCCTAATCCTTCCCCGCCGCATTCAGCATTCAGCATTCAGCATTCAGGGGCAGGTCAGCCTATACGGTACCTACCTAGGTACCTAAAGGTACCGTACCTGCCTACACGGAAAACGTTCCAACATTTGCAGGCTGCTCACGAACGTTGTTGCAGCGGCAAGCCAGGCTCAATCCTCATTTTTATCCTCTCGCTCTCGACTTGAAGACAGTCATGCAAGTTCTCATTGACATTAACAATGCATGGGATCGCCTTCACCTGAAGCTGTCCCTGGCTCCAGGGGATCCGCCAAGCCAGGTGAGCCATTCTGTCTCAGCTGCTGGTCTTCGTCCTGACAAAGTGCCTTGTATGGAAAGATCAGACTTCACCCATTCAAGAAGGTTGATATGGAGAAAGCCTGCTCATTCTAGCGCCTCCATTTCTTGAGCTGCTTTGACATCGTGTCTCTGGTCCTCCATGTCAACAATAGCCACCATCTGAAATGACTCTCGACCGGATTCCCTGGCGGCCGAAGGTCAACGGCGGAGGCACCTTCCAGGGCAAGACGTGAAAGGCAAATATCGAGCTACAAAGCAATCCAGAAAGAAGCCCGCTGAACCGCCTCGGCCTCACGAAGCTTGCGCTGGCTTCTAGCATCATCTTGTCCATTTCGTGCTTGTTTTTACAACATGGCCGACCTGTATATCACATGCTCAGCCGCCTCACGATCACCATTGTTTGGCATAGAAACCGTACGCTGGCTTTCATCTGTCGAAACTCTGAACGTCATCTGGAGCAAGTCCACAATATCGCGTCCCAGCGGCACTGACTACTCAAACAATCATCAGCCATGGCACCCAAATCCAATCCCCGCAAAGAGGTGGCATTGACTCTAGACAATGTGAAACGCTCGAAAGTTTTTGATCTCAACATTCGGTCGACCTATACGCAATTCAACGGTCAAGAGGCCTTCAGAGAGCTGGTGCAGAACTGGTAATCATGGCTACCGCTGGCAGAGAAGCTTGAGCTAAATGCAGACGCTAGGCGAGACGAGGTGATCAGGGCCAGTGGCCTCAGCCCGCAGCAGTTCATGGACTCTGTCACCCGCGAGATAACGACGAATGACTCGAAAGTCGAGATCTTATACAAGGCCATCACACCCGCGCAAGACTCACAAGGCGCACCGGAGGTTTTTGGTTTTATTCGGTACAAAGGGGAAAATGGACAAGGCACAGTTGAACTCACGAACCGCAAGAGCACCCTCCAACTTGAGCATCTGGAGATGGGTGGCACCAGCAAGAGACACGCCACGAACCAAGCAGGCACCCACGGCGAGGGAATGAAGCTCGCGGCCCTCTCCATGCTGAGACCAGACAACAACCACAGTGTGCAATGCGTCTCTGGAGGTTGCACGTGGACTTTCTACTTGAACAGTCTCTTCAAACTGTGTGTGAAGGTCGAGCGGATGCCCAAAAGCAGTCTTCACCAGATCATGCCCCCTTCTAGGCGTCTAAAGCAGACTCATTCTACATGTGTAGCAGTGCCCCATGAAGATGTGCAATTCCTGCTCGGGGCCAGTAGCAAAAACGACGATCAAACGAAGCAGAACACTCAGCATGTCCCTATCACGAAAGGCGTGTTCGAGAGCTGGACGTCCACGGCGCTCTTTCTGCAGGAGCCAAATCCGCAGATGACAATCACGACGTCTCGTGGCAAACTCTTGTTGGAGCCCAAATATCATGGCAAACTATACCTCAAAGGCTTACTTCTCAGCCATTCTGCCCACAACTCCGCCAGCATCAGTGGCAAGCAGATGAGGTACGGCTATGACTTTGCAGACGGCAGCACGAACCGAGATCGCCTGCATGTGGCTACTGCGGCAGAGGAAGCAGCAACCATCGCTAGTATCTGGGCACAAAGTATCGAACAGCGACCAGAGATGATTGACAACCTCAGCGACATGCTGCTGTCAGAGACTTCAGAGTACGCCGACGTCAACATGGCGGACAGGAACACGAGTTTTCATGTTGCAACCCGTTTGAAGGCGGCCCTCGTGGAGAAATATCCCAACCGGTGGTTCTTTGACAACGAGCAGAGAACGGAGGTAAGACTATCATTGCTCTTCCTTTTCTGGAGAATAATGGCACTGACTCTTCGTAGTATCCTGAACTCGAACTAACAATCCAAGGCCTTGGATTGCAAGGAATGTTTCTCCCCAAAACGTACTGGAAACTGCTGCACAAGCAGGGGCTTGTACGCGAAGTCTGTGATGAGGAGGCCATACGGTTCGGCAAAGCCAAGGCCCTGGGCCCAAAAGAACTGCCTCAAACATATTTTGCTCAGGAGCTTTATCGCATCATCAAAGCATGTATGCACGACTGTCACGAATGCATGCATCGCATCACCCTGCTCATTGTTGACGCTGGCGAACTGAAGCTTGACACTGCGTATCGCACGGGCCCGGCTGCACAGCTCAAGGTACACGTCAAATGGTTGTCGCATGACATCCTCGGCACAGAACTGGGGACGCGACTCGACAAGGACAGCCTGCGAGACGTCGGCAGAATCGCGAGACTGCTTTTCAAGCGCCTGCTGCAGACTCTGCCAACCCACAAGCTTAAACTTGGTGGAAAGACGTGGCAGTGGAAGATCCGCCAGCTCGGGCTGCTAGCTGACCAGCGGATCGACGACGCAACCGTGTTCGGTTCGACGCGCGTGTTTCCGGAGCCTGCGGTCTCTCAGGGCGTGGTGGTTCGCAGCCACTTCCTCAGGGAGCTGCCCCAAGGCACCTCTGCTGAAATCCATCTTCACGGCATGGCAACTTGCGGTGACAAACGCAGCATCTTTTGTGCTGCAGAAGGTAAGTCCCAGTGTGGCCTCTGCCCTGAACTCCGACTAAAGCAAAAACCCTCTAGTCCGCCATCCGCGTTGTACTGGACCGGCCGGGTCCTGCAGACGCTTGGTGGTTTCAGAACCCCGGACGGGCGTGACTTTTGAAAACTTGGACCTTCGAGTAGACTATTTCGCCCTTGTCTATTCTGCGAACACGCCAGGATCCTTCGTCCACGTCTCTTGCGGTTCTACCAAGCCGTCCGCCTTTCAAAAGTTGACAGTTACCACTAGCCACTCGGCCCCCGTCGGCGGCGATGCTAGCAAGGACTGCGACACCGCCGATAGATCCTCGACGACGGGAAGCAAGCGGCCGGCAGATGCGTATCAGGTATTCACGCCTCACTCGAAGCGTGTCAGATGGTAGCCCAACATAGCGGTCTCCGTTGTCAGTCTACGCCGCTGTGAACCTTTTCAGGTACTTGAGGTTGCCAACCGGCGTGGAGGTGGTACTCCTCTGTCTCGGGTTGGCTAGATTAGATCTGGCTCCGCGTCAGGGGAACTGCTCCGGCCAGACGCTGGATACTTGGCCTTGGAGGTAGCATAAGATGGATAGTCTACGTATAAGCCCAGATTAGGTCACGGAACATGAATGTGCAATACTATACGTCCTCCTTGATACCATTATCGAATGTGAAAACACATGGCGCATGAGAAGGGCCGGATGGCCTTTCGACTTTGTAGTTGTGTCTTTACTGCCCCATGTAGTAGATGACATGCTTGCCCTCGGGTCTACGTCGCAGCGGTCGGCAGCCACCTAGCAAACCACTCCATGGGAACGAACCGTCACCGCGCACATCACGTTCAGCCGTCCGTAATCCAAACAAGGGTATCATTGAATTCGCATCTGGTGCCGCATGCCAGGCGGATCCCGACGTGCGGCTATGTACTCTACTTCCTCCGCGCCTCCTTGGCCTTGGGCGTCCAGACGCGGACCCCCTTGGCGCTGTCCCACACGCTGGCGCCGACCTTGGCGGGGATCTTTCGGCCCTTGAGCCGCTGGTCGACGACCCAGGTGCCGACGACAAACTCCTGCTTGCCCAGCATGCCCGGCGGCAGCGCGCCGGCGCTCTGGCCGACGACGAGGTCCCAGACCTCGCCGAGCTCGTCGTCCGGCAGGCGCGACCGGCGCCAAATCTCGCGCACGACGACGTTCAGAACGAGGTCGGCGGCGGCGGCGGCGCGGGGGCCGGGGGCCATCTTGTCGTGCAACAGGCCGCGGTTGCTGGCCCAGAGGGCCTCGTAGCGCTTGCGCTCGCGCGGCGTCATCTCCTCGCGCCAGCGGCGGCGGGCGCCCTCGTGGTGAAAGTGCTTCTTGTTCGAGTGCGAGCCGTGGTGCTTCTTCTTGCGGCGCGTCTCCTCGTCGTCCGACTGCGCCGCCGGCTGCCGGAGCGTCTGGCGCAGGCGCGGTGACTTGGCGTGGTGGCGGCGCGGCAGAGGCGGCGCCGGGCTGTGACCGCTGGCGCTCGTGTTGCTGGGCGTCAGCCGGGCGGCGGCGAGGGAGCCGGCCATGATGGCGTTGGAGAGCGAGTGCAGGGGGAGGCTGCTCGTTGACACGGCCGCCGGGTGGCGGCGAGGGAGCGAAGGCGTGTAGGGCCTTGTTGGCGAGCCGACAGGCATGCTGGTCGTGGACGAGGGCCGCGGCGGCAGCTCCCGACGAGGTATGGGCGATGCTGGCCGCGGTGTCTGGGTCGAGGACGCCGAGACGAACGTCTCGTTGGACGAGCTGGTCCCCGATGTTGTCGGCCTTGCAATCGTGCTTACCCGACGTCCGTTGCTGAGAGCAGCGAGGTTGGCGTCATTCACAGGCAACGGTGCCGTGGCTCGAGGAGGAGCTGCCGGCTTTGCGGTCGAACTAGCGCCGCGGGGTTGAGGAGGGGTGGGTGGTCGCAGCTTGGCTTGGGAGGCCGGTCTCGTCGGCACAGGCGAGAGGACTGCCGTTGCGGAGCGGCTGATGATCCTCGGAGGCGGCATCTCGATGGACTCGGGTCGATGTTTCCGCGTCTTGGGTACGAGAACGGGTTTAGGGGACGAGGGAGTAGGTGGGAGGGTAGGTGGGAGGGAGGGCGGAGGCTTCGACTTGGCGGCCAGCGCCTGTCCGTTGGAGCGATCCGCCTTGGTCGCGGTCTCTGGAGCGCCCAGTCTCAGCGAGACGTCTGGAACGCGCTGTCCTTTCTGGGGCTGAGGCGGTCGAGTCTCAGGCGCGTGCCGTTGCGTCAGGCGCAGCGGTGCCATGACGGCGCGCATGGGTTTCGGCGGCGACGGAGCCCTGGGCTTCGCCGCTGCCTCTTCCCCAGCCTGTGTCTCAACTGGCCTCGGCCTGGCCTCTGTTTCTGCTAGCCCCGGCCTGGCCTTCACGTGGGGGTTCGGGTTGGACGGCGGCGTGAGTTCGCTACGCAGAGGGGACCCGGGCTCCCTCCTGTCGGGGCTCATCTTCCTTTCGGGCGTCATGGGCCTCAGCTTTGGCTTCACCCTGGGTTTCGCCCTCGCTGTTGGTGTCGTTTCCTCCGTCGCGAGCGAGCCAGGGTCGCGCACCGGCGGCGTGCGCCTGCCCTGTGGACTGATTTCTCGCTCGGGCGTCATGGCCCTCAGCTGGGGCACACGCCGCATGGCGGTGGGTCGTCTGACGGGCGTCCTCTTTTTCATGGGCTCCACGTCGTCACCGTTGCCGTTGTCTTCGTCTTCTCTCCTCTCGAACATGGAGATCAGGTTCGTCGTCGGCGCGATGGAGCTCGTGTCCGGCAGGTCGAGGCTGCTGGCGCCGCTGAGGCTGTTGACACTGGTCCTGCGGCGGGCGACGGGCAGGCACGGAACAGGGGTGTTGGCATTGGGGCTCGGCGAGGCGGAGCGCGAGGCGGCGAGGGTGGCGGCGATGTACGAGGGGCTCTTCGTGTCGTAGCTCGTGGGCTTGGCGGCAGAGGACGGAGACAGGCGGGCGGCGGGCGGCGGGCTCGAGGCGAGACGAGGCCGGCGGGCGTGCTCGGTGGTGCCGTCGGTGCCGCCGGTCGTCTGCCGGCTCTGGGACGGGGCTGGGCTGCGGCTGCGGCTCCTGTCGCGGATCGAGGCCGTCGCGGCGGCATAGAGGGCGCCGTTGGGGAGCACTCGTTTGGCGGGTGGTATGGGTCTCGAGGCCGTGGTTCGGGCGAAGGCGAGGTTGGCTCCTTGAAGGGCGGCGGCGGCGTTGGAGGCTGCCTGGGATGGAGGCGGCACAGCAGGCCGCACGGAAGGCTGGTGGGCCATGATGGCGGGCGTCGTGTGGGGGGAGCGATTGAGTTCAGCGGCGTGGGCGTGGGCGTGGGAGGACAGATGGGCAGCTCATGCTGTCGATGCTCGTGGCGAGGACGGTGCTGACAACGGCGAGTGTGCCGTGGTGGAGGCAGTGAGTGTGCCGTGATGGACGAGTATGCCGTGATGGAGGCAGCGGTATGCCGTGATGGACGAGTGTGCCGTAATGGACGAGTATGCCGTGATGGACGAGTATGCCGTGATGGACGAGTATGCCGTGATGGACGAGTATGCCGTGATGGACGAGTATGCCGTGATGGACGAGTATGCCGTGAAGGAGGCAGCCAGGTCGAGTTCAGGTCGACAGATCGATTAGGTGATGTCAATGCAGGCTAAAACAGATATCGCTGCATCAAGTCGGAATCAACAGAAGGGGACATGCTGTCGAGAAGAGGGTGGAGGCTGGCGGAGATGAGGGCGATGGGGGGCGAAGCAGGTGGCTGCAAGGTCCCGAGGATCCGGCGTCGTGTTTGGGTTGCAGGGGACCTTGGGATGTTGGTGGAGAGATGGTCAAGCCAAGATGATTACCATGTCTATCTACAGCTGCTTCTGCTCAGCCTTGGAGCCGTTGCAGAATGACACAAAAGGTGGGGCTCTTCAGCCATCTACAGCCCTAGGTCCTAGGTGCTGTACCTAGCCCGCTAGGTACCTAGGTCCTGTACCTAGGTGCTGTACCTAGTGAGGTACCTAGGTGCTGTACCTAGTGAGGTACCTAGTGCCTAGAGCGCCTTGACAGAGACTTCGCTCTGCGTTAGGTACGTGCTAGCAGCGGTACGCGCCTCCAGGTGCCTACCAGCTAAGGTAGGTGAGTAGGTATCCAGCAAGTGGTCGACAAAAATCGTCCCACCAAATGAAAGAGCCCGAATGTACTGACCAGCCGGCCTCTGCCTCGCTGTCACGTGGTAAGCCTGCTGTAGCCTTGTGGTGGGCCATTTTTCTGCCAGCGCCTGGTAGACACCCTTTTACCTCAGTAGCAGAAGCTTCACTCACCGCACACCCGGAACAGTCATCAAATGAATTGAACATGAATTGAACATAAAAAACATTCGTCAGTCGGCGTAAGCCTGCTTTCCCTTTCCTTGCCCCTACAACGCCGTCGGCCCAAACGCCGTACCAAAACACAAAGAAGCCCACCAACCCCCCCCCCCCCCCCCCCAAAACTCTCCATCGCTGGACCACCCCCCGCCTCCTTTCCCCCGTAATTACAATCGACTGAACAGAATAACGAGAAGCAACAAGAAATAGGCCAGTGGAGCTGCCCTCCAAGTCGAGGCCACCCGTGTACGTACTATGGGACCGAAGAAGAAGGAAGAGGCAGAAGAAGAAGCAGGCGCTGAGATGCCTCGTCGTAGCATACAGCGTCCCATCCATGCCTCTTAGTACGCCTCTTCGTCCGTCCACCCGCTGGCGTTGGACACGATGCGCTCGCCTCCCTCGTCCACGTAGGCATGTCCCGCATGCTGCGCCGGGATCGCCCGCAGCCGCTTCGTCTGGCTGGCGTTGGGCCGGTAGCCCGCCGCCTCGGGCTCCATGCGCTTGCCCCGTGCCGCGCGCACCTTGGCGTAGTACGTGTCCGACGCGTCCGCCTCGGGCTCGCTGTTGTCGTCGTACGTCTCCCAGTTCTCCGACCCCGTCACGTTGCTCGACCCGTTGGACGAGTTGGAGATCTGCCGCGGCGGCGGTGCCTGCGGGTACGCCATGACGGCCGGCGCCCCCCGCATCGAGCCGTATTCGTATTGTGAGTGAGACTGGTGGGAGTGGTGCGACTGGTGCGACTGGTGCGACTGATGAGACTGGTGCGAGAGCGTCGAGTTGGACCGCGTTATCCTCTCGGCCGCCGGCTGCGCCTGCGGCTGCGGGTCCTCGTACACATCTTCGAGCTCGGCCTGGCGGATGATGCTAGAGCCGAGGCCCGCCGACTTGTACGGGTTGACCGGCGTCTGGAGCTCCGGCACATGCACGAGCTCGCGCATCTTGGGTGGCGGCGCACGCATCGGCGCGCCGTTGCGCATTGTGCCTCCTGCCCCTGTGGGTCGGCCTTCTGCCCGCGTCTCCGGTCGTGGCCGCTCGGGCGAGTTGTTACCGTTCTTGAGGTTCGACAGGGGCGCGCGCGCGGGGATTCTCGACGGGCTGCCCTTGGGGTTTGTCGGTGCCGCGCGCTTCGTCGTTGTGGCTGCGGCCGGTGCCGCCGTCGGTGTCTTCGCGCCCGCCCGGCCGCCTCCGCCGGCTATCGATTTAGCCGCACTGTTCGCCCGGCTGATGGTGCCCGGTCGAGCCACTTTGGAGGCCGAAGCTGGTGGCCCCGCAGGGGTCTTTGATCGTGGACCCGGCGCCGGCCCAGACTTGGCTTCGTCGGCGTCGATCATGTCGAGATATCTCTCGCCGTGCACCAAAAAGTCCCGGCCGTACTCGTCTTCCCACCTCTCCAGCTGCTTCCGCAGATCCGCCGCAATCTTGGGCAGCTCCTTGGTGATCCTCTTGCGCAGCTTCTCCTCGCGCAACAGCTTTCCGGGATCACGCCTCTCGCCCTTTTGTCCACGCATCATGAGACGCGAGGCGTCCTGGCTGGAGGCCGCCAGCTCGTCGCGATCATGGGTCAGGGTCCTGTGCTTGTCCACGAGGGCCAGGATCGGCGCCCGCTGCTCGCGGACAGCTTCGAGACGTGCAATCTCCCGTTCGTGAGCCTCGAGCAGCGCATCGCTGTACACATCGGAAAAGGCGGGCGTGAACTCGAGCATCTCGTCCTCCGAGAGGTAGAGAGCGTCCCACAGTTCCTGCAGCTTGTAACGCGCGTCCTCGACGAATAGATGCAGATTCTGCCGCTTGAGCTCGTTCAGCCGTGCGAGCTCATCCTCAAACTCGTTGATCTGGCGCAGGCCACAACCGCGGTTCGCGTTGAGGAACGATTTGCGCTCGCCACTGTCGACGCCAAGCTTCTCCCAGAGCGCCTCGACCGCTGCCCTCAGGCTGACGAGGTGCTTCTCACGGTTCTTCTTCTCGTCGGCAAGCTTGTCGCGCTTCTGGCGCAGCCGGTTGACGTCCTCTTCGTGCAGACCCAGCTGCTCAGGCGAGTCACGGTAGTACTTGACAATGGCGCCGTCGGTTTGCGCCTGGGGCGTGCCGAGCTCGGCCCATAGTTGGATAATGTGTTCGCAGAGTGACTTGACGTTGGCTACCCGACGCGTGTATTCCTCGTAGACGCGGGTGAATTCATTGTCGAGCTTGTCGACGTACGTAGGAGAGAGATCAAAGGACGGAGGGACCGATTGGTTCGGCGCCGTGGGCGGCAGAGCGATCTTGACAAAGGTGGGTTCGAGGTGGGAAGAGTAGGATTCGAGGGCCTGAACAAGTTCTGTGCTAGGTTAGCAAAAGCTCGTGGATGTTGCTGTATCGAGAATATCGCAGTATGGAGGACAACGCACTCTTGACTTGCTCGAACCGCTCCTTGTGCAGCCTGCCGATCTGGACGTGTCTCTCCTTAAGGTGCTGCAGGCAGCGAGTCAGCGGGTAGGTGATTTGCAAGTCTTCGTCGTCGTGGTCGCGGCGTCGAGTGTCGTCGAGGGAAGCTTCCATCTGGCGGATGGTCGTGATCATCCGCTGGGCCTCATCCATCATATCCTCCTTCTCAGCAGTGACCAGCCGGACTTGGTCATGGAGGGCCTTCGACAGAGCCTCGAAGAGCTACATGTATATCATTAGCCACAAACCGGAAAAAAAGAACTTGGTTATTGTGTCTACCTCTGATTCACGTGTTTCACGGTCGTGATTCGGGACACCAATCTCGTCAAAGAGGCCGTGGAGTTGGCCGATAATGGTGCCCACCTGCTGGGCGAGGTAGCTGGTGTCCATGATGCGGTTGTTATTCGGCGAGGTGGCCGAGTCGTGGTTGGGAAGGTGTCGACAAGGTCTGTCGCAGCACGGTAGAGTCGTAGCGTCTGCTGTTCACGGGATGCCCCCGAGATGCGCCGGTCGAGCGGTGCACTCCCATGCAGCAATCTGATGATGGTCACCGGGACGTCAGTTGCGTGGTGTGCATGTCCTGCGACAGCAAGGCCAAGGTCGGAAAGAAAACGATTTAGACGGTTCGAGAGTAATGTCTGAGAGCGCGGCCGCGTCGCGGTGGATGTGTCGTGGTCAATGGTAAGGGAAAGTGTGGAAGCGAAGGTGACTGGAATGTGAGATCGCCAGATGGAGGAGGAGCACGTTGATTGCTGGGGTTCAACATGTTTTGGCTAGTGCTGGGGCGCCTTCGCGTCCTGGACGGCAGCGTCGCCAGCGTCGCCAGCGTCGCCAGGGCAACGGTGAGAGCCAGTTGATCGGCGGGCGGGCCAGCGCTGACGGCAGGTTTTCCAGTGGACGAGCCACTAGAATGACACGCTAGAACTGCTGGCCGGGGCGTCTGTTTCAGTGGGAGCTACCCCGCGCTGCTCCCCCCGCCAATCAAACGATGTGGCCGGGCTCCGTTTCATCCACATCTGCCCACTGCCTTTCCGCTCCTGTGAGCACCTGCCAAAGCTCCTCCTAACCTTGGTCCTGTCTGACCTTCTGACCAAGATTATCCTGGATTCCCTAGACAATCCGATTGTCGACATCCATCAACCCATGTATCCATCATCTCAGACCAGGGAACATCCCGTCACACGTGGACTCTGTTGAGACGACATGCACGTGCACATTCCATCACCAACTGCCTCACGGGCCAGCGACTGGTCTTTCAAGATGCTCCCAAGCGTCTCCAGACATCTTGCTGTCGGCCCACCACGATTGCCAAACACGACGCCTCCTACAACAGGAATCCCAAGAGCCCTACGACAAACGATGCCTGCTTGATGTCTTGCATCTGCGTCGTCGAATCTTTGCGTTGCGTGGGCGCTTGTCTGGTCTCGGCTGGAGGCGTGCGTGGGTCTGATGCAGGTCATCAGTCTCGGCTACACCAGCGCCGCTTTTCATCTCGACTATGCAGCATCACCTCCCCTCTCTCGTATCACACAAATAGCATCGGCATGGGGGTCTGCCGTCATCATCCATCTAGCGACGACTTTCTGCCGTACTTGGTCGAATACCAGATTGTTTATGGACTGCACCTGTGCTAACTGCGTTTACCGTCCCATGATGCTTAGGCTTCCATCCATCCCTTGGTAACCGCCATCACGTCGGGAAGGGAATCGTCACAGGACTCTTGTACCCATTCTTGCCCACCGACCGCACTCCGAAGATGACATTGTCCTTTGACAGCTCGACCGTTGCCGTGCGGACGTCGCCAACAAAAAGGGCATGCGTCCACAGCGGCGCATCCGTCGGTCGCCACACAACCTCGTAGCCCGCGAGATTTGTCGAATTGACCGGATCCCAGAACAGCTGGCTGTCGTTGGAGAGCCACGTTCCATTCACCCTGACATTGTTCACCTTGGCGGGTGCGTTCGCAAGAGACCACATGGCCGCCAGGTCAACCTTGGCCACGCGCGCAATATACTCATAGTCGAGAAACTCGGGCAAGTCGCCGTACTGCACGCCGTCTTCCACCCGCGTATCTTGGTGCTGGTGGTCAAAGTTCTCATTGGGCTCGGTGAAACGCACGGCCGCGTAGCCTGCCTCGAGGAACGGCCGGTGGTCGCCTCCGCGCAGGAATCGATCAAGTCGGTAGATCATGGCGACCCTCATGTCGGTGAACTTGTTGGCTGCTACCTCGGTGATGAACCGCCCCAGCTGGCGTGCCGGAGAGTCGTTCTCGCCGCCAATGCTCAGGCGCTGGGATGCTTGCGCGGGAGTCTCGGTCAAGGGAGGACCCTGGCAGAACAGGCGAACTGTGTTGGGCTCCTCCTCGCCGCGAGACCCGACGGAGCTGCCGACGAGGTCGACGTTAAGCATGCCTTCAACGTTGACACTTGCGTTTTTGAAAGTTTGTGCCATGAATTGGGCGCCCAGGAGCCCCTGTTCCTCGCCCGCCACGGCAGCAAACACAATGGTGGCGGCGGGTTTTCTCTTGGCCAGAACCCGAGCCAGCTCCAGAGCAACTAAAAGCAACCCAGTCAGCTATGCTCAGCCGAATTAACAGAGACGACTACATACCTGCAACACCGCTTGCGTCGTCGTTTGCCCCGGGTTGCTCAGCCTCGTAGTTCATCACGTCCGACACCCTCGTGTCGTAGTGGCCAAGCGTCACATACACTCGCCCAGGCTCCTCGCTACCCTGGAGAGTGGCTTGCACGTTGCTGATCAGCACAGGGAAGGGCACACGACCGCCCGGCTGCTGCACATAGCCGGGTACCTCAACCTTCATCCTCCCGGCCGAAGCATTGGAGTACCGAGACAGTTCAGCGGCGATCCAGTCACGGGCAGCACCGATACCTCGCTTCGGGTCCGTCTGCGACGAAAGCGTGTGCCGGGTGCCGAACGAGATGAGTTTCGCGATGGTTGCCTTGATACGCGCCGCGGAGACCTCAGCGAGCGCGGCCTGGAGCTCAGCATCTGGCTCTTGGGGCTTGAGGACAGAGCCGCCAGCAGCAGACGGGGGCCAATTGGCGTTGGCGCAAGACGTGTAGATGTCTGCATTGGCAGCGAGGGGCGGTGGAAACGTGGGGGTGGTATCGTTGGCGTGGAGACTCGCCGCGGCAGCGAGAGCCGCGGGTGCCAGGAGAGAAAGGACTTTCATGGCGGCAGACAAGAGATGAAGATGCAATGCTGCAAACGTCGTTTCTTGCGATCACCGACCTTGGAACAGCTGCAGACCTTTACTTGTACTGGGTCTCATCCCTGAGCTTCGCCCCCTCCGTCCGTCCAGCGACTTCGGAGACCAGAACACCCCTGTGAGATCACCACTCTCCTCTGCTCGCCCCCTCCTTCTCCGTCGAGCCTAGATAAGAAAGACGTGCTGCACCTTTTGCAGAGGTTACGCCATCGCGTTGCTGAATCGCCAGCCGTCAAACTCGAGAGATCGGCACCGTTGGAGGGTCTTGGCCGGGCCGGCATATGTGGTTGCCCCGCGCCCGCCACCCCGAGACCTTGCTCGACTAGGAAGGTCGGCATGCAGACTGTCGTTCGATGACCCCGGTCGTTGGGTTTGTGGTGGGATTGATGACGAGGACGACAGGACGTCTCATCCGCAATGCTGGGATTGCGGAAATCGGGCCTCATCCTGCTTTAATCCATTGTCTGAGTGCCTCACTGCCTACAGTCCGACTGGCTGTGGGTGACGTGGCTGGGTACATTGGTGCGTACAGCCAAATCCATGACCACAACATGGTCCCCAACATCGAAGCTTACATCTCGCAGCATATAATTAAAGTGAGCCAAGAAGTAGAGTGCAGAGATTTTTGGCGTGTTGAATCTGTAGTAGAATGTTGTCTACATGATAGAACGACATGAAATCCCCCCCTGAAAGCTAACATGTCCGCTTGTGGCCCTATGTGTATGCATATGCATCCACAGTCTCGTACTCTGAAATGGCGCCTTGAGCCTCAGGTTCCCAAGTGCTGCACAGATGCCTCCCGCCACCTATGTTCAACTTGCGTGGTAGCTACAGATGGGGCGTTGATATACTCCCTACTACCTGATCATCTCTTCCCGAGCCCACTGGTCATCGCTGTGGCCCCTCACAGCCTTGAGGTACTTGTTAAAGGCCCCCGATGTCTTGATGACCTGGCTCAGGTGCGGCCAGTCCAGCCTCTCATTCCTGTGCTTGGCGAGCTGACGCGCGGTTCGCAGTGCATTGCGAATCTGCCGCCCATTCATCTCCTCGGCCGCGAGCTCGTCTAGCCGTCGCTCGAGCTCGGGCATATTGACATCTTCTTGCGGCGAGTCCTCGATCATATCGAAAAAGTTGCGCCAGATGGCCTTTCGTGCCTTTTTCGACAGGTTGTCGTAGTGGATGGCAACTTGGATGCGCGACTTGAACGCTTCATCGAACGTTCCGACACGGTTGGAAGTCAGCATGAGGATGCCTTCATAGTACTCAAGGACACGGAGAAACACTGACTTCGCGTTAGTTTTGGCAGAGGACAGAGAGTGCGTGGCTAAATGTGTCTCCCCGAGCACTCACCCGTCACAAGACTGTTTCTCTGCAGGTCAGCCATTGTTCTCTCCTCCAAGAACACATCTGCCTCGTCCAGCAGCAGCACTGACTCTCCGTTAACCGTGTGCATTCATTTCTCCAGAGAAAAGTAGGAACGGAACTCACCACAGTCCCAGATCTTGCCCAAGTGCGACACAGTTTGCAGATAATCCTCGACTTCCTTGGCGTCGGTTCCGATATCTCCACAGGTGACCCGATACAGGGGCTTCTCTGCGATCTCGGCCACGCTACGAGGTGCCTGAGTCAAACCAAACATCCAGCAAGAGGATCAAAATATGGACAAAGTACTCACCTTTCTGCCGTCAGCGTTTTCCCTGTCCCCGGGCTGCCGTGGAGTAAGACAATGAGGCCATTGCCCTTTCCCTTGATGATATCGTCCATTTTCTCGGCTGAGCTTTGGACATCGACCAGCGCGTAGATCATCTCTTTGGTCTTGGGATCGAGAACCAGGCGCTCAAATGCCTTCTTATTCCAGTTGACCGGGAAGAAATTCTCAACATTCAAGTTCACTACAGAAACAAACACGTTAGTGGCGCTCTGTGCTGTGACGCAAAAAGTACATACCCCATTTCTTTTCCTGAAAGCTGAAGCCATATATAGTAGCGGGCAGTAGCATGATCGTGCCTGGCGGGAGGTTCTCCTCGCTGCGGTCGATCCGGGTGGGCCACTTATCAAAAGGCGATAGAGTCCAGTCGTACCGAGGGTGACTGGTCCCTGCGCGATGCATAAGCTGGTACGATGATACATCAACCATGCATGAATCGAGCATCGATCTGCATGGTAGGGACACACTTCAGTGATGTTCAAGTGTTCGAGCGATCAGGGGAAAAGACTTACGTAGTAGTAGCTCCGCGACTTATCCCAGCCCGTGTAGCACTTGTAGACCTGGTCTCTCATGTCCCAGAATTGTCGGCCCCTGGTCTCGAGTGCTTCGATATCGGCCGCTCTCGCAAACTTGATAGGATGTATGGGCAAATCCACGATAGGGGTACGTCCTTCCGCCACCCTATTCATCTTGCCTGTCCAAGACTTCCTGAATAGCTCATTACCGTCGTACTGCCAGGACCAGCCTCCGAAGTCCACTCTGTCTTTTTCAACCTCAGCATAACTATCTAGAACGCATGCCTCGAGGGTGCCACCAGCTCGTCGGCTTATAACCACGTGATTAGGCTTGAAGAGCTTCGTGATATGTTCGGCCGTGATACATCCGTCTTTCAGAAGCTCGTCCGCCTCTTTGTCCTCCTGGCCGTAGTTGTCCTCTATAAAGCTTAACAGCGGCATAAGTACGGATCGATAGGCTAGGCTGGACTCTGCCAAGCTCTCCAACTTCTGACGGTGATGAAAGAGAAACAAGTACGGTGCCTCCATCCGTTGGTAGTCGGACTCTGAGCCGCTTGACTTCCCGGGGCCGCTTGGGAACTCTGCCACTTGTTTCAAGGCTCTCTACAATACAGGAGACACCAATTTGAGCCATTCATGCCTCTCTGTTGCATAGACATGCCTTCTTGGAGCTTGTGTTGAAGACGCGCTTTGGAACGGCGTGCAATCGTACTCCTTGAAGACGATGAAGCATACATCTGGGTGCTTGCTCAGGAAAGCCTCCATGTTGGAGACTTTGATTTTGCCAGCAAGCATGGTGAAGCCAGTATTCGCATCAGTCATTGTCTTTGGCTCATCCTCGTAAGTGAAAGTATCGTGAGGGTGCAGATTATGCGAGCAATGAATCTGGTGCAGGTTATGAACTCGGGGCGGGGGCTCTCGCTGGCTGTCCGAATTACCATGCAAGCCGTGAGACGCTGGCGTGGGATCCGGCTCTGGGGCCCGAGCATAGTTCAGTTGGCGTTGTAGCAGCTCAATGGTATCTAGAAGATAAGCAATGAACTGAGATGTCTCCCGAGACTGGTCCATCACATCGAGATCGAGATGTTTTTCCATGACTTGTGTAAGAGAATCTGCCAGCCCAAGGGTATTCGATGCCTCTCCCTTCGAGGTACTTCCGTCAGAGGATTTTCTTGCTGTTGATACACTCTCCGCCTCACCCTCGTCGCCAGACTTACGCCGGCTTCGTTCGGGAGACTGAGAGGCCGTGTTGACTCCCGGCACAGGCCCTCGCTTTTTCATCAGACTCTGGCGCCACTTGGCGTCGTTCAACGCCTTTGGACGCGCGGCAGAAAATCTGCGGTTAGGCTGTACAGGCTGCCGAGGAAAGGGAGGGGGGCGTGAAAGCGGTCCCTGGATCGGATGCACACGCATAGCCTGTCCAGGACCCATCAGCTTGGGCGGTGGAGGTAAGTTCAACTGAATCTCATCAGGCTTGTTCAATCCTTGGAGAACTACGGTTTGAGTCAGTCAGGAACGAATACTGATCGAGGGTTGAGCAAGCAATGTACAAGCCCGCCATGAAAGAACCCACCCCCTTCTTTCTCAAACCTGCTGCCTATCTTGGATAGCAGATCTCGCTTTTTGGATGACTTGCTGAGGGTATCATCTCTGGAGATGGTAGAGCTGATAAATAGAGTCGATTGCCCTTCACCATCGCTAGATCTGTCACTCATAACGCTTCGAGAATCGCCCGAGTCGCTGTCCTCCTCAACGTCATCGGTGGATTTGTCTGCATGAGCCGAGGCGTTGGCCTCGGCCTTCGAGTTGTCTTTATTTGAATCCATCTGATTGACCGTAAGGTATGCTGAGGTTGCCGCTCGCGGATAGTCAACAATGTGCAGGACGTATTGTAGGAGCCGAATGTCGCGACCATACTTAATGTCTCATCCGAGACGCAATCTGGTTGAGGGGTAAAGCTGGGACAAGGGTGGTATGCAGCCTGAACACGGCTACCTGAGGGAGCCTGATGCAGCTGGCAGAATCCTCATCGAATCCTGGGAACCTGATACTGCTGTGGCCCGGCGCGCGCTTACACAGGTCAGCCAACGAGCCAACCATGCATTTGTCCCCTTTTGCACAGTGTCCAGATATGACTGTGCCGTTGTCGCCCAGCTGACCTCGGTGTCATGATTCTGGCATTTTGGAGTGTCGCTTGACGGATCAGCACCTTGCGTGTCACAAAGACCTCGAATGTTTCCTGGTATGCGTAGACGCTTAATCACATTCTTCATTGACTAGAAATAGTAACTGAGGAGCTAAACCTTTCAACAAATCTTTGGTTTCTCTTCTTGAGCATGGCGCGAAATTTTGGCTTCCTCATCATTCTCTCAGCTCGGCGCCCTTGATCCGTAAAGATGCGTCTCTGATCAAACACCTCATCTGCATCGAGCGAAGTCGATACGGCGAATCGCCAAGATAGAACGGCGATTTTCAGCCCCCCTCTCACTCGACGGCTTATCATTTCCGCGAGGAACTCGACGAAGTGGTCAACCTTGAAGAACTCGTGCTCTTCGTCCTCGTGGCTCGTGGCCAACTCGATCAGACCCATGTCAACCACGAGGAACAAGCGCGGGAGCCTCGTGATACATTGTTCGAAGAGTGCGAACCACTGCTGGACCCCTTTGCACATCTTGAAGTGCTTCATGTTGACAGGATTCACCCCCTCGCTGACAATGCTGGGGTCCAGAGCCAGGGCTTGGGATATGAGCGATCGCAGGATGCCAGATATCGACGGCTTCAAGGGTTCTTCTTCTGATGCAGACGGGAGGGCCCACAAGACAGGATAATCTTTGTCCAGGACGGCATCGAGGAAATCAGCAGCAAAGTCCAGCGAGCTTGAACGAATGCCTTGGCCTTGCGCCAAGAGAAGGGAAGACGAGGGATCGGACACCCAGGACTCAAGTGTCTCAAGCGCCGAGACTGGTATCTGGGTCGGCATTGTTCGCCTCCTCCGGTTCCGCATGGATCTACAGTAGGCCAGGCTCTCTTCCGACTCTGGGGTATCCTCCAAGAGAAGGTAGTTGCGAATGTCTTCGACCTGGCCTTTGCGAAAGAGCTGCTTGTATTCATGTTGAGCCCCGAGCAACGATTCGTTGTATAGGACTTGTTGCTGCTGTTGCACTGTTGATTTTTCAGCCAAAACGTAGGTTTCATAGTCACTGGATGAGCACAAACTCACCAGCCATCATTTCAGTCACCTGCACGAGTGTCTTATCCAAACGATGAATCCGGATGTGCAGGTCCCTTATCTCGGCTTTGGATGCTGCGCTGGCTAGTTCATCCACTCTTCTTGATCTTTCTGTAATTTCTTCAATGACGGGTTTGAAGCTCAGGCTGAATGGTTTAGTGATGGACGAAAGCGAATGCATCACCTTGCCCTTCTTGTACCACCGGACAGCCAGGACGAAGAACTCTAAGATTTTGGCATATACCATGGCGACGGAATCTTGCATGCGCTGCGTCGGGTACAAGACGGAATGCAACTCCGTCCGAGGCAAGACGTCCGCAATCTTGCTCACTGCTTTGGAAATCTCCGTGAGGAGCTCCTCATGATTAAGAACGGCCTAGAGCACGTCAGTTCTGTTGTTGAACAAGTCTATGCCGTGTCCCTTACAATGAATAGAAACTTCATCGCGCCCCAGGCCAGGGAAACGTATTCAGGATGATGCTGGACGAATACATCAAACACGGCTGAGGGAGAGACGCCTGAGTGAGCACTTTGCCGTGCTTAGCTGGTGAATGCAACGGAACTTACTCCCGTAGTACAGGATCCTGGATGAGCAACTCGCAAGCCAGCCCCTCAGCTTCGAAGATTTTATCTTCGCCTCATACTCATCCATCGCGTCTTTGACCGCTTTCTGGACATCTTGCATAGATGTCTTGCCCTGCAGTTGAAGAAGCTTCTGTTCATCGTGGGTGAGCTCCTTCTGGAGGATGACTACCGCACTCTCGAACGCATCTTGAGCAGGGTTCACCCTTCTGCATTGAAGTGCCCCAAAATTAGCTCTTGGTCTCGAGATGGTCTTGCGCAACGAGGAGGGCCAAGCTCTTGATGATGAACGGACCTTGGCTGTGGTTGTCCAATGTACCAGTCAGATAAAGGTTCACGGCCTGGCTGCCCTAACAGAGCTGACAGGTCGAGAGGTGGCGGGGATGGGGTGCGAAGGGCATAGAGATCATGCCTCTCGCGGGTTGATACGGCCATTGGCAAAAACGGTGGAGGAAAAACATCCTCTCAACAACCATGTCCTCTGAAGAGAGAAGGAGGCAAGAGAGGGGAGTGGATGCATGCTGAGGCGATAGACCAGGCCCTCTACATGTACAGCGCCTAGCCCTGTACATGCATGCATGCATCACCCCCAAACTCCAGTCTGAAGCAGCATGGAGGGAGGGCCTGCCAGCGACAACCAACACCATGCGTCTTTGGGGCTGTGCTGGCAAGGCGTAATCGTAGGCACGCGACACCTTTGCGTACCTATCATTAGTGAGTTCGGCATCTTTGGAAGCAAGTTGGGCAAGATGCCTGACCAAATTTCTTTGCAAAAGCCTGGCCTGGGGTGCACCGGGCCACTCCAATCAATGCAGACGCACAACGAAGGAAAGGGTAGCATGCTACCCCAGCGCAATGATAGCTACAAACAAGGGCGCGTACCTTTGAGGTTTAGAGGAGCTGAAATCAAGATGATTGATTGTAAGCAGCCTAGCAAAGTGAAAATTGCCACAAAAAAAAAGAAATGCTCCGAGGCGGATTCGAACTGCCGTCAATGCAGTATTGTAGTAAGAACCACAATGCATCATCCTAACCAACTAGACGATCGAAGCTGGCTGACAGGGGTTTCTCCTTAAGGTACTATGATCCACACGTTCCTGCACTCCGTTTCAACAGCGTCTGTTATTCCCTCTTGTGTCAGTTACTGTACATTGCACGCCAGTCACATCCTTATTAGCTTTCTCATAGAAAGGGGGGGTTCTTCAAAGAATCTGGCTTTTACGCCTGTATGTGTTTAGTCGCTGCAATGTCTTCATATTGTGAGCTGCCGGCTTCACGTGTATGGGGGCAGCTTAGGTACTTCAGCAGCAACCACGGCAAGGATAGCTTCAGCACAGACCACCATCGCTCTCTGGAGCTCTAAGTAGTACCTTAGGTACCTCACCTGGGAACAGAAGCCCTGTGGTGTTGCGACCATTGGGCCCGGTATTGAGTAGTTCTGAGATGACTGGTGTCAACACCACTTTGTCTCTTGTTCGGGGTTAGAAATTATTGTGTAATACTGATGATGTATCACACACAGTTGAGTGCGCCAGTCTTGTCCTAAGGCGCGGCCCCATCGAGATCGTGCGCCCAAGCACACCCAGCCAACGACGTCATCGTGTCGCGCGACAGCCTAGGGCGGGCAACACGCCCCGAGCCGTCATCATTCATCATTACCTACCTTACCTAGGTACCTTCCCGTTGCTTGCCAATAACGACCAACACCAGCCGTTATGAGCTGAGAAGCCCCCCAGTCTACATCATCTCTTGCGGTCCGACAGCATCAGGACAGCACTGAATCGACCTCAGACCCACAGACAATTCTCTCGACGACGTGTTCAAGATGATGTCCTGGCTCGGCATCGGCCGCAAGTCGCGTGAGGATCGCGAACGCGAGCCTCTGCTTCCTCGCTACAACGACGATACGGCTCTGCAGGCGCGTCTACACGAGAAGCTCCATTCATATCAGATGCTACGAGCCATGTCCAAGGGTTACATGCCCATCCAACGAACAGCTCATCACGAACCTTCGCACCTTGCTCTCTGCTGACATTCTCAACCCCGAGACTCCAGACCTCAGCGACTCTGGCCGCGCCTTGGTCATCCACATCCGTCTTTGGCTGAAGCAGTTCATCGAGGTGCTGATACACAAGAATGATCATGATCAAATTCAAGACTTTATCTGGTACCTGAGTAAATCTCGTCTGTCCGTCGACACGTACGACATCAGCGAGCGTGCCTCCCGCATCAAGGTCAAGGCGGATGCCACTGCTGGTAAGAGCTCTTTGACTCCCCGCAAGCGGTGATCTCGCTGACTTGCGCCCTCACAGCCTACAAAAGCCTTCAGACGGTTGGCTCCCTTCTCCTCACGAACTCTGATTTCCGCATCTTTCTCTCCGATCTGGGCACTGTCGGCCGCGAAGTCTTTCGCGATACTGCCTTTACGCTAGCCGATGTTTCTAAACAGGTCGGCAAGCAGGTGGCACCATCAAAAGAAGACGAAGAAGCCCTCAAGCACCCAAATGGCGATTTTCACAAACCGCCATCGAAAGATGAGATCCAGCACGAAGCTGTCGAGGTATCTTCAGTCGTCGCAGATGGTGCTGCCAAGGTCGCGAGTGAAGCAGGACAGAGCCTCACAGAGCACATCACCGGCGAGGAACAGGAAAGTCTAGTGAACCGCCTGAAGAAATCGGTTCTGAAGCTTCAAAAGACCAGAGACTACTCGGATTCCGTTTCGACCATATCTCTGCTCGTCCGTCGCTACCTCCTCGTCTACTCGCATGCTGTTGCCGATGTAGCGCATGCCGCGGAGGAAGACATTGACAAGAATCCCGAAGCAGACAAGGCCTTACACAACTTCTGGCTTTTCCTGTCGTCTCTCGGTGACCGAAAAGAATGGGACGAAGTGGAGCGCACATTCAATGAGGTCGTTGAGCATGGCCGGAGCGATCCCGAGTTTGACCAGCTGGTTCGCCAGATTGGCAACCTTATCCAAGATTTGCTGACGGACCCTGACTTCTTCGACCATGCAGAGGAGAGGTTCAAGGAGCTGCGAGCCAAATCCAGCCAGCTGACGTCCGAGTCATCCATTCGTGATGCACTCGACGCATTCCTCGATCGCTTGCATCGAGCTTTGCACTCGGTCTTTGAGGATGCCGACATCAAGAAACTCGTTCACACGTCCCAACGTATCATCAAGATCCTCTCTCCCGCACACCAATACACTAACGGGGAGCTCGTTACTGACTCGATCAATGTCTTTATCCCGCTACTCGTCCAGGCCATCCAATACGTTCCTATTCCCCGTCTTGAGGTCTCCACGCCAGCCGTCGATCTTCTGATTGAGAATCTCATTCTCGAGCCAGGACGCACCATCAACTCGTCATCCTTCTTGCCTTTTAAGCTCAACATTTCGACCAAGAACGACGTCGAAATCCGAAAGGCTCGCTTCCGCACCACGTCTTCCGTCTCGACTGTTATGAGAATCACAATTTCAGGCCTGTCCATTGCCGCCGAACAGCTCGGATACTGGCTTCGTCTTCACTCGGGCATTCTGCGTCTGGCCGATGCAGGTATTGCGGGTTTCCGCCTTGATGAGCGAGGCATCGACGTTGCCATCGACGTCGAGATTGGCAAGGAGCGTCTAGAAAAGGTCCTAGCGCTTCGTGCTGTTCGCGTCCGCATCCACCACCTAGACTACGAGCTGTCGAAGAGCAAATTCTCCTTCTTCGCTTGGGTTCTGAAGCCGTTCATCCGCCCCATCGTTCGCGCCGCCCTTGAAGTTCAGATCGCGCGATCAATTGCCGAGGCGATTCACTTCGCCAACCGTGAATTCCTCTTCGCCCGCGAGAGGCTCCGTGCCACTCGTATCGCCGAGCCACAGGATCTCTGGACATTCATCAAGGCCGTCATGTCCAGACTTGTCCCGGAAGAAGATCCCGACCTTTTCACGCGCGTGGGTGTGGCCCAGCCCGGCAAGGGCGTCTTCAAGGGAGTGTATGCGCCTGGCAGTTTGGTCAAGTTGTGGAACGAAGAGGCAAGTCTGGCTCAAGAGAGGGTCTACGAGTACGACCAAGGCGGATGGCGCAATGACATTTTTGACGTCACTGCAACGAGCATTTGATTTCAGTATGGCCTGCACGACTTACACGAAATGGTTTCACTCAATGCCTCGGAGTTTTGCGGTTTCGGACTGAGTAAGTAACAAAATGCGTCCCAACGAGACGCGGAGCGGGCGTTCATCTTGTACTCACTCTCTTATTATGTCTCCATCTTCAAGCTTTTGTCTATCTGCGCTCTATCACGGGTTTTCTTTCTTGGGTGTTGTCCTTCCCGGTTCAATGTACAAATGACGCTTCTCCATGGCCAGGACGGCACTTCAGCGGGTTGCTGGACAGCCCTTCCCAGATTCTCAGATACGCACTTGCCACTGGCATCTGAACTCCGTACCCAACCCCACCCCAAAGCCATGCCATGGGACGCAGACACCCATCACGACCAAACTCCACCCAAAACATCAAACCCACACAACGCCCACCTGAATTGATTCAGCTGCAAATCCCTCACACCCCATCCCGCCGTCCCAGTCAAAAACCGCGCGACCTCGAATTGCCGTCATCAGCGAGGTCGGTTAGCTCAGTTGGTTAGAGCGTGGTACTAATAATGCCAAGGTCATGAGTTCGACCCTCATACTGACCATGATTTACCTTTTGTTGGCGTCGCAACTCTTCAGTGGCGACGGGTCGGACTTTTTCCTGGTGTCGGGCGTTGCTGGTGCGCGCGCAGGTGGTGGTTTGGGGATGAGTTGCCAATGACGGTCGGGTCTAGGTTGTCAGGCGAGCCTCACTGAGCATGGAAGTTGACGAGGCGCCGGGCTCTTTTTTGCAAGGAAATGCGATGATTTGTCTGACTTGTCTTGAGATGTCTCGGCGTTTATCGACTGTGAGCACCAAAGAGTAACACGGAATATAGCCCTCAGGGGGGGGGGGGGGGGGGGATGGAACGTCACTCGTAGTGATCATGCACGTCGCCCGCGCTATGAACATCACGGGCTAGCTAGCTATCTCTCTTAAATCATATGGCGACTGGCCCCGATGGACTAGGTCATTACAGTGCTTGGGTATTTATTCTTCATTCATCTCGAGGCAACCAGGTAATCGTCAGACATGCCGGAATCATCATCATCATATCGTCGTGTGGACCAAGTAGCCCATTATCATGACCCATTATACCCCCCTCTTCCCAAAACGCCTTGATCCTTACAAACGTAGAGGTTCCAAAATTCACATCCAGATACGCCTGTTCCTCTCGGCCTCTCGTTTCTGCTGCACCCATTTCTGGTACGTGTTTGGCAGCCGCGGGTACTGCAGCTGCTCCCACTCGGTGTCCTGCGGAACGAGCGGGAACGCGTATTTGGCGCGCAACACGCCGTCGACCGTCTCGAAGTCGTGATCCTCGTCAGAGATGGATTCCTCGTCGTCCATGTCGGCCGTATCGACAATCGTGGCGTGCTGCTTCTGGAACACTTGCTTCTCCAGTGCGGCAAGCACGGCATCCTTGACAGCCTGGGCCACTGTGTAGGTGTCGGTGGCAATCTCTGGGGTCGGCTGCACCATATTTCCCCCTGATGCCGTGTTCGCTCCGTCATCCGCGCCATGGGTATCCTTGGTTTCGCTTGTCTCTTTGACCTTGGTCATGATGACTACCCCCTTGGCTGCCGGCTCAGTCGTCTTTGCTGCGGTGACAGAGACCGCTTCATGGTGTGTATGGATTTCCAGCGGCAGATCGGTCGTGGCCGTCCTCGCGTCAAGATCTGGTCGCTCCAATATCGCCCGAAGACTCTTCTTCGTCTCATCGGTCACGGGTCGGTCGGCCATCTTGGCGGCCTCCAGCCCGAGCCTCGAGCTTGGTGCGCTGACCAGCACGCGAATAGCGTAATCCCACCGCTCTTGGAGCAAGAACATCTTCCCACGCAGCCACTGGTACGTCCAAATGTTTTGCGGACGACCTGGCCGAGCCAAGAACTCGTGCTGCAGCTGTGCGTAAGCCGTCAAGGCCCCCGTCCGGTTGGTGGTCAACTCGTAAATGTGCGCGAGATGGCGAAGGATGTTGCGTATGCGCCTGTCATTCTCGGAGGATGTCGAATCGTTGCGCAGGTCAGCCACGGCGTCGCGGGCAATCTCAAGGCACTTTCGGTATTCGTACGAGGCCTCGTCCAGCTGTTGGGAACTCAGCAGGCTGTGGGCGAGCTCCATACGAGAGTCCAGCGTTGTCTCTGGCGGCCTTCGGTCGCTTGATTCCCGGGAGCACATCTCACGCAAGACCTCAACGGCCTCGTCCCACCTACATAAAGACTGCAGGGCACTGGCGTGGTCGTTCATGTTCCTCAGGCTGGCAGCACTGCAGGGTCCGTATTTGACCCTGTGCCCGTCCAGGACGGGCTGAAATCTGCGGCACATGCGGACAACCTTGGCGTACTGCCCGAGGCGCATATATGTCAAGCGGGCAAGCTTCAGTGTCCATTCGCCATTGGCGTAATGCAGAAGATCTGCTGCCAGGTCCATCTGGTCCAACTCGGCGCCAGCTTGCTCGTGCAAGCAGCGTTCGGACAAGCACATGACGATATTGTAGTCAATGGCTGCCTTTTCTTCCGGCCCAAAGGCAGGCCTAAACTCGTTCCACTTGCGCGCTATTCGGTATGCAGCCTCGGCTTCCTCGTACTTGTCTTGGTTCACGAGCATGCTGGCTAGGTCTCGTTGGGCTTCGATGGTCATCGGATGGTGTGTGCCCCGCGTTCGTACCAGAGTAGGAACCAGACTGCGAAGTAGCTTCTCGCCTTCAGGCCACGAGTGCGTGTAGTAGTAGATCTCGCCGAGTTCTCGCATGGAAAGGGTATTGAAGTCGAGACAGCGCTGCGTGAGGGAGGCCCAGCTGACTCGCCACGACTTGGTTTGTGTTCTGGCTTCCTCCAGCATGGCTTCGGCAGTCAAGGCGATTTCTTCGGCTTCAGCCAAGTCGCCCATCTCGTTTCTTCGGACAAGAGAGTCGCCGAGAAGCAAGACGGCCCGCATGAGATAGGGCTCTCGATCGCGGGATTTCGGGAGAGAGGTGAAACACTCGTGGGCGATGCGGAGATGGGCGATGGCCGAACTCCAGTCAGAAGGGGTCTGGTTGCGGAAACAGTGCCCCAGGGCCAATGCGACGAGGCCTTCCATATGAGGCGAAGAAGCGACCTTTGAAGCGATGTTGGTGAGGACGAGGGCGGTGATCCACTTGCTCCTCATCTTGAGCAACTCCGCTGTGGCCAGGAGGGAGAGTACTGGAGGGGTTTCGACTCGACGCCTCACGGCCTTGGATAGCCTCGAGGCGGACATTGGGGGCCACGCGGTCTTGTTCTCTGGCACCTGATCTGGGAATCGTGGTTGTTGGTGTTGTTGAGATTGCGTCAGTCAGTTGCGTGCCGTTGTGATGCTCGTGCTCATGTCAGAGATGGGATGGGGACACGATCAATCGCTCTGGCGTCTGGGCGGCTGCACCCCAACGACAGCTCTCCCCTGGTGACGCGTCACCCGGAGCCTCCTTGTTGGGTCTCGTGAGCAGACTTGCCCAGCCAAAGCCGATGAGTTTCCTAGAAAACCGATTTTTGTGAAGGTACGTCGTTCGGATGCTGCGGGATCCCACTGTGCCCGCCCAACAAAGCCGGCCTCGTTGGGGATCCTATGTTATGGTAGTAGGTGAAAGGTGATACTGCACGTGCTTGGTGCGCGCAGATGCGATGCGTCTCGTATGCGCGACCGTGTGTGAGGTGTTGGTAGGAGAATGGCTTCTCATAGAGGCATCCTTTCACAGCGTTATGAAGGAAAAAAGGTAAGGCAAGACACCTGAGATGGATGAGGTTGTATCGCTCTGTTTAGGCTGCCAGGCGGGGCGACGGAGGCGGGCTGGGACTGCGACTGTGACTGAAAGGGAAGAGGATGAGAGACAGCATGGCCATTCAACCAATCGTGTGCCTGCATTCACCAGCCCCAACATCGAGCTCAGCTCCTGCCTCAGATTGGGTCATCGCTGCCTGCCAGCGACCTTGATGGAGGCTATATGGGTTGAGGTCAGTTGTCTAGAGAATTGTCCAGAGGACCAGAGGATGAGAACTTGACAATTGTCAAGGGCAGCATTCGCACTTGTCTCCCCGTACCTACCTTACCTTAAGGTAAGGTAAGGCAAGGTACCTAGGTAGGTACCTTGCAATCACGGCTGCAGCACGCAGAGGGTAGAGGCTAGCAACTGCCGGCGCCTGGTAGGGGCTGGGAAGTGGGTCATCAGCCCTATTTTGTTAAGGTACCATATTCTGTGATTAGTCCCCAATGCCTTTTGTATGAAACAAGACGTCTACCGATTAGTAACTTTAAGAAGGAGATGATGAAGAGTATACCATCCCTTTAGTGCCCGAATGTGACCTCAGTACTTCGTATAATCGATAGTCAAGTGGCAGAAAACATATGTCGTCGCTAATTGAATCCAAGGACATAGCGAACTATACATCTAGATGCGTGTGCATGACCTGTGTTCCACAGACGTACCCGCCCTCAATCATGTACTGACCTAGGACCTGCATGCATGTAGATCAAAGCTCTTTAGGTAGGCGGTGATCATTTGATGTACTGAGGCCAAATTTGGGCACGAAAGGGATGAAGATGGTCATGGTCAGGTGAGATCAGCAAAAAGGTCGACGAGGGCAGGATTCGAACCTGCGCCACCGAAGTGAATAGATTTCTAGTCTATCGCATTAGACCACTCTGCCACCTCGCCTGTTGGAAAACCGACCAAAAATGAGCTGTACATGGCCCCTACAGAGGCCGGCCATTGTCTCAGATCGGAGTGGGCCTCTTTTGTTCTCGGCTCCTGTTCTCAACGACAATTGATGACATGTAGCGACCTACACGCGCGTGACGGTGTGAAGCCAACGTATTCCACAATGGCCTGGAGGCCGCATCGTGTACTGACCCCCCTGGCGATTGCAAGGAAGTCAATGTCTATGGCCTCAGCCCGGAGAATGGCCAGCCCGAATCCGCCGTGGCTTCAATCAGTATTCGATGACTGTACGGCGGCACCGAAGCTATTCGCCTGGACGCCTGCCAACATCAGCTCGCGAACCCAGGCCCTGTCTCAGACTCGAGCCTCCGGGAGCCAGGTTCCAACAGCTTCTGAGAAGACTCGTCGCATCTTTGTCCTCGGAGTCGGCAACCTAGGCGTCCTCTTCGCCACGTCGCTGGCAAAACTTGCGCCGCGCCCGCCCATCACCCTTGTCGTCCACAGAAAGGAGCTCCTCGAGCAGTGGGCATCGGATCCCAGCCTCAAAATCTCCCGCAATGGCGTGTCAGAGCGCATGACCGGCTTTGACATCGAGTGGTGGACTGACCAGAAACCGGACCACGGTGTGGTCAAACACGTCGCTGACGGCGGCGCCATCCCGAACCTCGTCGTCACCACCAAAGCATCCGCCGCGCTGCCCGAGGTTGACCGCCTCCGCCGCTACCTTGACGAAGACTCAGTTGTCGCATTTGCACAGAATGGCATGTGCAAGCTCTGGCCCCCGCACGGGCGTGCGTATACTTCTCACCGCTACGCGTCGCGCCCACCGCCGAGCTGGCTCGCCTGCGTGACAACGCACGGTGTTACCTCGAGGGGCCGCTACACGAGCGAGCATGCCTCGGTGGCGGACCTCAAAATCGGTTCCGTGCTGTCCGGCCCGCGAGGTGGCCCATCGTCGACATACCTCGCGGAGCAGCTGGCGCGAGCGCCCTTCCTCCACGGTCAACAGGTGATGCGCGCAGAGCTGTGGACACTGCAGCTCGAGAAGCTCGTTGTCAACTGCATCATCAATCCTCTGACCGCTCTTTTACGTTGCAAGAACGGCTATCTCTTCGAAAAACCCGAAGGTCCCCTGATGCGACTTATCGACGTCCTACTAGCCGAGGCAAGCGCTGTCTTGCAACAGGTCATCCAACATCCTAGCAGCGATGCTATCTTGGATGATGCGCAAAATACAACATCGGTCAATGATCGTCAGATGCTCCTGGAGCGCTTCAGCCAAACACAGCTTAAACAGATGCTGCTGGTTGTGGGTCACAAGGTTCGTGACAACACTAGCTCCATGTTACAGGACGTCCGTGCCGGCCGCCAGACGGAGATCCAAGATTTCAACGGTTGGCTCGTTGACATGGCTGCTTTTCTTGATCCAGGCTTGGACACATCGAACCACGAACTGCTCATAGAGCTAGTCGAGAACGGTGTCGACGTGGACGAAACGTCGATCGAGAGTCACTTCCCAGTTCTAAGCGGTCAAGTATAGCGACAGAGAATTCGTCCAGACTGTACATGTAGACAAAGGAGAATCGACAGGTCGCACCCCATTCATCGGCACTCGCATCCGGAGTGTCATAAAAGGTCAGCTATGATCGGTCTAAAAACGGAGGAGCCAGGGCCACTCCCACCTCGTCTGTGTCTCCACAGGATGAGCATCACCATGGGGACCTCCCCGACGGCAAGGACTCTTTTTGGGTGTCGGAGTACCCAAGATGCCAGGAGACCTCCCAAAATAACCGTACAATCACACTACTCGAACAGGATCGCAGTAGCCATGGTAGATGGAGAACAGATACCAGATGCTTCATCAGGTGTATGCTCATCTGGAGGTAAAGGGAGCTGCTTCTTGACAGCTTATTCAGAGGTCGACAACGCCTTTCTACGTTCACATTCCTCACAGCCTATGCCTGGCGCTTCGTGGTACCTGTCTAACGTAGCAGATTAAGGCTGGTTACACCCTGCCTACCTTCCATGCACACACAGTCTGGCATACCCAATACCAGAGGGCTGCCAGCTCAGCCTGGCTCCCATCCCCGAGATTCCGAACTCCAACGGGTTTTGGTCACGAATGGGAGATGCTAGCAGGCATTCGGCTGCGACGCAATCTTGCTTCTCTGCGGGGCAGGTTACTGTAGCTGGCGCCATCAGAAATCCCTCTCCCGCGTCCATCACCCATTCAAAGCCACCGCCTGTACGTACGTACCGCGTCACCCATCTAACCACGCCCCCTGTCCGTC